TTCAGCAGGTTGTTATATGCTCAATATTCCCTCCCCTTTTCTGCTCACTTGACTGTAGGCTGCACGTCTTCTTTGCTAAGTATGAAACAGTATTGCATTTAAAAAACATTTTCTCAAAGTATATTCTGAGTTCTGTTGGCACAGTTTTATTTAGATTATTGCTGAAATAATTGCCAGTTATGAGCTAATGCTGATTATGTTTTTCCATATTACAAAGAAACTTTATTTCATGAGACTACTCACCAGTAACCCTTATTTTCTTCCTGTGTTTACTTTCTCACTTCCACGTCAGACTCCTTTAAAAGTGAGAGAAGTGGGAATGTTCTTACAGGATTTGTAAGTGATGCATTTTGGTTCACTTGGATTTTCCTCTGTGTGAAAGGAAACCAAACCAAGGGGAAAAGGACCAAGTTTAAAAGCTGGTCCACAAACAAACTGCAGGTGTGAAAACCCCCTTAAACACATGGTAACAGTGTTGTTTGACACTGATTAATTATCCATGTTTATTCCTGCAACTTGACAGCCACTGGATGATTCCTGAGGGCCTACTGGGCACAGGCCCAGGGGCCATGAAGAGACTGCTAACCTTGTTGGAAAGTCAATCAAATGGCTACAAATCAAATTTTTAAAAGCCCTACAAATCAAATATAAAAAGCTGCAAAATGAGAAAAAAATATGCACAAATACAGACATATGAAACTGCTAAAAATACACAAAATGGCTAAAAAAAGAAAAATCCCAAAAGCCAGCAAAACAACTATAAAAAAGGTATAAAATGACTACAAAGATGTAAAGCATGTAAAAAGTAACACAAAATGGCTTAAAACAGAGACAAAACAAGTACAAATGGACACTAAACAACCACAAGAAAACCCAAACTGACTACAAATTATATTGTTTCTCAGTCTGTGTGTTGCTCCTAGAAGTGTAGAAGACATAGGGACCTTTTATCTTGTGCCCAGGGGTCCATTGTCTGATAATCTGTTGACATAGAACAAAACCCAAACAGAAAAAGAGAAACAAAAATTACCATCCTTTAAAAAACCTGATTTTCTGCATTTTGTGGAGTTGCTGAATAAATTCATATTCATGTGTTCCAGCATGAGGTCCAGTTCTCAGTCTTTTGTTTTTGAGTATTTCAAAGTAATGGTTCCAGTTTCCATCTCTGTCTGCTCCAAATCCAAAAACGCTGACCTGGGAAAACCAACATCATACCAACATTAGATTTCAACTGGAATTGACAAAGTATTGTTTCCACAGTTTTAAAGTGTTTTTTATAGTAATAATATGAATCAACACAAAAACAAATAAACTGAGAAGTGTGTAGTGCACATCACAAATAAATCAACTGTAACACAAAAGAAATTATCTATAAAATGTTATTCTTTAAGTTTCTTTATATATTTCTGCATATTTGGAATCTAGCTGATAGCCGACAGTGCAGCAAGGTCCAGTGAGTGGCTCTGGAACAGAAGAAAGGTGTGTGCAATGGATAAAAATAGGTAAGTGATTTATAGTAAGTGACATGTAAGCAAACAACCACACACACTCACACTCACTCCTATGGGCAATAGAGCTGCATGTCTTTGGACTGTGGGAGGAAAGCGGAGTACCCGGAGAGAACCCACGCAGGCACAGGAAGAACATGCAAACTCAGCACAGAACGGCCGTGGGATGGCCTGGGCTCAAACCCTGAACCTTCTTGCTGTGAGTCAGCAGCGCTAACCGCCTTGTTAATAGTCTTCTTTTCTTAGCCAGTTTTGGTAGAACAGTGTCAGTGGTTGGATAACTGAGTGGACCAGGCTCTCAGAGTAACTGCCATTACAAGCCAGCTGCTTAACGTGAGCAAATACAATGCAAATGCTGTGTGTCAAGCCACATACAGTATTTCGTCTTTGCTTGGGTTAGGATAGGGTTCAGGGATGCTTTGTGTCAAGGGTAGGTTAGGTCTGAAAAATGCTGTGGCTTATTGTGGGGCACTGAAGATTTATTTACAGCCTGACACCCCCCTCTTTGGGGCCAAATAATGGGCAAACATAATTTAACTCATATATTGAGCTCTATATGAATGCTCTTTCATTCTTTGGCACATTTAATTGTGTATTATTGACTTCTACATTGTATTTCATTTTGTAATTTAGTGCTGCGCTCCACAGTGGTGCTAGTTTATGTTTTGTTGCATTATAGTTTACAGTTAGTGAATACATTCTAATCCAAATTAAATGACCTGTATGTTTCCTGGACAGGCTTGTGTGAATTCATGTGAATAATGATTATAGTTTCTCATAAGCAAAAGGCAGAAGGCAAAGTTGTATAGTATCAGTAGGCAGCACCTTTGGATGTCTGGGCATACATAATGTCTGACTATTTGAAAATTTTGAGAAATACACCTATTCTTAGTGTACCTACCCTATGCTAACCAGATGCTAGATCTAGCTACATACTTATCGTATATGTCTGAGAGTGGTATTCATCTTTTCATTTAATTGTTGGCAAGACAGCAAGAAAGCAAAAATATCAAACTTCTGCTCTAATCATTGCAGTGGCACATAAGAAAATGCATTTGAATGAGTGCAATTCATTTCTCATAAAAATTTTGTAATGATACATCGGCTTTATTATTTTAAAACAGTTTGTCTTGTTTATCACCTATCGGCATTTTCTTGGCCAATCACTCAGTGAAAGCATATAACTGTTGTCAGAATGTGAACCTACCTCATCACAAATATACATGCTGAGAGCCACTGTCAGAAAGCCAGTGGATGGATATCTGCCCTTATTTCCCAGCCATCTTTTATGAACATATTTCATGAAAGCTGGATTCAGTATCATTACCTGTTATGAGTCAGATTCAGTCATTAAGGGCTTTCTACAATAAATGTGTGATAGAATGCTATTATATTATAAAAAATATTATAT